GTGGTCTGCGGGACAGAAAAGTAGTAAAGAAGTACAAAGGAATTATGCCTCTTTTTAATGGGTCTTACACTTGAACTGATCTAATCCTTTGCAAGCGCCTGCTCATAGTATGTGCACTGCTGTTGAACTGCGTTGTAAGGACTTGCAGTGATGGATTCAAGATTTTTGTACTTTATAAACCTTGAAGACTAGTGACAGGATTCCTGACAAAAGTTCTTTGAAGTCTGGGAAGTTTTAAATAAGTCTGCTTTGAGTTACTTTGTTTATACAATGGAAATAAGTTATGCAAGATTAGGGGAAAATAACTTACACAAGATTTGTATAGGGGGATATGGGCATCGGAAAGGATCTCAAGTCGCCTGCTTCCTTTGAGATCATGCTGGGTTGATGCTTTTTTTTTGCCTTTTTTTTTTTTTTTTTTTAATGAAGACTGAGTAATCTGCTGATCTCAGCAGGTGTCTGAGATGCCATAGGATGTTTGGGGCATCTTATCACAGAATATGCTGAGTTGGAAGGGACCCACAAGGATCATCAAGTCCAGCACTTAACCCTGCACAGGACCATCCCCAAGAGTCACACCATGTGCCTGAAAGTATCATCTGAATGTTTTCTGAACTCCGTGTTAGTGCTGTGACCACTGCCCCGAGGAACCTGTTCCAGTGCCCACCACACTTGGGGTGAAGAGCCTTTTTCTAATATCCAGCCTAAATCTAAACCTGACACAATTTCAGGCCATGCCTTTGGGTTCTGTCACTGGTCACAACAGAGAAGAGATCAATGCGTACCCCTCCTCTTCCCCTCACAAGAAAGTTGTAACTGCAACGAGGTCTCCCCTCAGACTCCTCCAGGCTGAACAGACCGAGTGCCCTCAGCTGCTCCTCATACGGCTTCCCCTCAAGGCCCTTCACCACCTTCATGGCCCTCCTTTGGACACTCTCCAATACCTTAATATCGTTCTTATATTGTGGTGCCCAAAACTGCCACAATATTCAAGATGAGGCTGCCCCAGTGCAGAGCAGAGCAGAACAGTCCCCTCCCTCGAGTGGCTGGCGATGCTTTGCCTGGTGCCCCCCAGGACAGGGTTGGCTCTCCAGGCTGCCAGGGCACTGCTGACTCACATTCAGCTTGCATCGACCAGGACCCCCAGGTCCCTTTCCATGACACTGCTTTCCAGCATCTCATTCCCCAGTCTGTGTGGACATTCAGGGTTGCCCCATCCCAGGTGCAGAATCCGACACTTCCCCTTGATGAACTTCCTATGGTTGGTGATTGCCCAGCCCTCTCATTTGTCCAGGTCTCTCTGCAGGGCCTTTGAGGGAGTCAACAGCTCCTCCCAGTTTTGTGTCATCTGCAAATTTACTTAGTATCTCATCCAGTCCTGTTTCCAAGTCATTTATGAAGATGCTGAAGAGCACAGGGCCCAAGATGGAGCCCTGTGGAACCCCAGTAGTGACAGGTCTGATGTCACCCCATTCACTGTTACCCTCTGTGCTCGACCAGTGAGCCAATTACTCACCCACTGTGTGATGTGTTTATCCAGCTGTGGGCTGGACAGTTTGTCCAGCCGGATACTGTGACAGATAGTATCAAAAGCTTTACTGAAATCCAAAAATATGACATCAACTGGCTTCCCTGGATCAACTAGGTAGGTTACCCTGTCATAAAAGGAAATCAGGTTTGATAAAGCAGGACTTTGCTCTTATGAAGTCATGCTAGCTGTGGCCAATGAGTGTGTTGTCCTTCAGGTGCTTTTCAACACTTCCCAGAACAATCTTCTCCATAACTTCACCAGGAACTGAAGTGAGACTGACAGGCCTGTAGTTTCCAGGTCCTCCGTCTTGCTCTCCTTGAAAATCGGGACAATGTTTGCCAGCTTTCAGTCAGCTGGGACTTCTCTGGATTCCCAAGGCCACTCAAAAATCATCAAGAGGGTCTTTGAGATGACACCAACTGGAGCAGCAGATCCCACACAATTTCAAGGTCAGCTGGGAGCTGGCCATTCTCGCAGTCATGATCCTCCAGCTCAGGGCACTGAGACCCCCTTGGCCCATCATCCGTGTTGAAGACAGAGGCAAAGAAAGCATTAAACAGCTCTGCCTTGTCTCTGTGCCTGTCTGGGAGGTGACCATCCTCATCCTGTAATGGGCCAATGATATTTCTACACTGCCTATTGCCATTAATATATTTGAAAAAACTCTTATTATTGTCCCTGACATTTCTGGCAGCTGCAACTCCAGCTGACCTTTGGCTGCACAAATTTTCTCCCTACAGTGGCAAACAGAATATCTGTTCTTCCCATGTCACTTGACCTTGCTTCCACTGGGCATACACTTCCCTTTTATGCCTTATTTCCAAGAGAAGATCCCTGCTCAGCCAGGCCGGCCTTCTGCCTCCAGCAGACCTGCTTGATTTCCAGCACTTGGGAATTGCTGCTCCTGTGCCCTTAGGAGGTGATGTTTGAAAAGTGACCAGCACTGATGGACCCCAGCACCTGCAAAAAACATTTTCCCAGGAGACCTTACAAATTTTCTGAGCAGTCTGAAGTCTGCTGTGATCATGTCCAAAGCTGAGGTTTTACTGGCACTTTTCCTTCTGTCAGCAGAGATTTTAAACTCAGTCACCTCATGGTCGCTGTTGATATCAGGTGGCACATCTTTCCACTCGATGTTCTGTTGGCTGTGCTGTTTATTCCCTCATGCCTCAGCAGATCTTCCCTCTGACCGAATCGTCATCAAGATCACGGTCACATCATGGTGTGCTGTAAAAGGTATCATTTAGCTGGGGAGAGGATAGAGTCTCACTATCCCATAGAAAGGAACCGGCTCATAATTTTCTTGATCTAGCACCACTGCTGTCAGTAGAACAGCTGCAGATGGAATAATTAAACCAAATTAAGGATTTAAAATCAAGTTGTGTTCACAACGTTGATCAAATTTGATCAAATTTTTGTAAGTGAAGTTCAGTACGTCATATTTACCCCCCCCCCAACTTTGAATTAAAAGCAGAAGTAATAAAAATTCTTTAAGTTAGGAAATCAGTGCTTCTACTTTCAAAAACTTATGGTGGTTAGTGTTAAAAAGAATAATTTCATCTGTCTTTCCCTGGGCAGTAACAGAACTGAGGAGAAAATGTATTTATTCCCACTTAGTAATAGCTCAGAAACAGATGCTTTGCAAAAGAATTGCTCCAAGAGATGACAGTTGAATGCACTGTTGCCAAAATTGGAAAATGAAGTTATTAATGGCCTTTCTAAAAGCAGCGTTGTTTAGATTACAAACTCTTGTGATGACTGCTACATTTCTGAAAAAATGCTTGAAAAATATGGCAGACATATCTAGTGGGAAAAGCAGGAAACACTTTAAACTAAAACCCACCCACACTGTGTGCCCTGCTTTTATATGTATATGGGTCAAAAGCAAATATTTTCCCTGAAGGTTTCAGCATTCAGGGGTTTACCTTCTTGAGGAGGACAAATTATGGATTGTGGGAGAATTTATTTCTATAAAAGTGGTGAAAATTTGGTTGTTTTCCAGACATTTTACAGATGTAATTTTGTGCTTTAAAACATCAATTTCAGGTGTACTTTAGGGACACTGAATGCATATTTTCTTAATAACAAAACGTATGTATTGAACGTAACTGATTCAGTCTTAACTGTTAGGTATGAATGAAAGTGAGTCTTGTTCTCAGCAAGGATAGCATTCTGGGGGACAGCAGTGTGTGCTTTGTCCTATTGCCCCCAACAAAGCATGCAGAGAAGCTTTTCTCTCGAGCAAGACTTTATAGTGGGAGGGTTTGAGGTCCTCCTTGAGCCTTGCGGATCTGACTGTGATTCCAGCTTTGCTCTCCTGGACACTGTAATGTCAGGGGTATCTTCTCAAAAGTTTTTTGTACGAGGGTCAGGAAGCACATAGTCTGGTTCAGCATCCATCCATCCATCCATCCATCCATCCACCCACCCATCCATCCATCGCACCTGCAGTGTTGCACCATCCACACGCCATTCTCTTGTCCTCGGTCTTTCGGCTGAGCACGATGTTTCTTCCACAAACTATTGCATACTGGTTGCTAACTCGCTTCAGGCAGCTGCTTCTTCTTTCTGTGTGTGACATTTCAGAGAAACAGACAATATAAGAATTTTTTTGACACCCCTTATTTTGCAAGTAAATATGTCTGCTGGTGGTTTTGTGATAATACTCATGGTGTACAGCTGATACAGAGAAAAGTTTCCTTTACTCAGTTTTTCAAATAAGAACTTACCACATTTGTTTACCAGAACAGTGTCTAAGGAGGGATTGTTAGAGAAGGCTTTTTATAAGAGAAATAAGTCCTCTGTGGGCCTGTTCTTGATGAGAGATTTGTTGGAGAAAAATTTTCAGCTTAAAAATGGAGTATCTGTCAAAGGAGAGGGGAGTGCCTGTTTGTACAGAGCCTGGAACAGTTCAGTGGATAGTTGCTTGGGCCAGGAGGGATCTTGCTTTGATCAGAGATACCCAGGTGCCTTTAAATTCAGGCGAACAGTGTCACAGGACTGGTGTAAAACTAGAAGACAGCTTGAAAACCAGTTGTATTTACTGTTTTGGGGGGTTCTGGTTATTTTAGAAACAATGCCTTTCCTACCCTTACCAACAATTTCTAGTAAGGCAAAAAAATACCCCACTTGACTTCCTGATAGAAAGATGGTGTTGCAAAATTGCTGGACACCTCCTTTACTTTTATCAGCCACTGTCAGTGAATATTGCAACAGTAACAGCAGTAATAACAATACAGGTACTGCTTTGCAGGGCCAGTAATTGCATAAGTGTTACTCCTATACAGCTTTCCCCCTCCCTATTTTTTTTTTTTAAGAGCAGTGCTGTAATGTAGCTTTTCATCCATCTTCAACTGTTGGCATGTCAAACCTCTAGCAGCACGATGAAAACACTTTCTGATCCTGTTGCCTTCCTCTTTTCTAACATTCCTTCTACAGATCTCTTTAAATTATTTTGCTTTCCCTGCAGGTTGCTGGTTGGAGCTCCTCGGGAAAAGGCCTTTCCAGCCCAACAAGCCAACAGAACAGGAGGACTGTACAGCTGTGACATTGCATTTCCAAATAAAAATTGCATACGTATCAAATTTGATGAGGAGAGTAAGTTTTTCAGTGCTTTTGTTTTTAATTTCAAGAGTTGTCTGAGGTTTCTTGTTTGATGTCCTTTCCAGAGGCAGTGTATCAGACAGTTGCTTCTAGGAATTTATACGTAACTCCTTTTTGCATCAGAATAAGTTGTAGCTTAATTGCTATGATAGTATGAGATGCTTTAATTTTGGTAGATTCTTACTCTTTTGTAAATTGATGTAACATGAAGTAGTAGTCTAGAAGTGTTTATTAAAATGGATGTTGTTAGTGATAAAATGTACAGACAGTGCCACCTGCAGACTGTCTGGTGTTCTGTGTGAAGTGCTTCTCCTGACAGACTTCAGGAAAAAAGAAAAAGAAAATGCACTTAACTCTTAATATTTGAAGTTGTATTGTGATACTCTGCAGCTGACCCGAGGATGGAGAGTAAAGAGGACCAATGGATGGGTGTAACTGTCCAAAGTCAGGGGCCAGGAGGAAATGTGGTGGTAAGTGTAAAGGACTAATTATAAAAACATTTGAGATCTACTGTAAATGTTCTGAATGGTCTGTGTTTCTGTGCAGCTTGCTGAAAGGTAACTTGCCTAAGTTGATTCCTGTGATTCCTTGTAGGTAAAGACATAAATGTCTCCTTAGCAAAGTAAGGCACTTAAGACTGTAAGAGCTTTAATCTCTTATAAATTTCTTATAAATCTCTTATAAATAAATTTAATCTCTTATAAAGAGATTTAGCCTGTCTTATTACCTTTGTAACAGTCTAGGATGGACAGTTTTCAAGGGCGCCAGTTACTTTTTGTCATATACATGTTTCTTTTAAATATCAAAGAAATAGGGAAGAGTAATGTAGTTCATAAAAATAGCAGGCTGTCATCAGCCTCACTTTACCTTTCATCAGGGACTTTGTCTGAGTTGCATCTGTGAATTAATGGGGTCATGACACTGCAATAAGACAACTTAACTATTCTTAATTTTATACAGTACAGAGATACTCTTTATTTTATGCTAAACGGAGAAAATGCTTTTGGGACTTACTGGGGCATGTTATTTTTTAAAGTCTTTCTCAAATAAACCTCTCATGGTGCTGCGGGATACCAGCTACATCATAAAATAGCTGTGCAGTGAAGCTTCCCCATCTAATTATATTCTTGCAGGTTAATGTCATTGCTTCCAAAACTGGAGGCAGGTGACTTCAGCATGTGAATTTGGTTATTTAAGGGTATTTATGGGTATAGAGACAGTAATAACTAGATCCAGTCTGCCTCAGAACCCAAGGGGGAGAAAAGTAGATGTAAGCAGTCCTGTTCATCAACTAATGCTGTCTTGTCTTTTCTGAGAAGGAACTTTTCTTTGTGAGGGGTAAATAAGAAATGCATTTATTAGACAAGGTGTGGGCAACCTGGAGGTCACTGTGCAGCAGGACAGTACTACAGTGGGAGCAGCTGGGTGTTTGCCTAATATTTAGGCCTTGATAGGAACCACAGAAAAGGTTTGTCAGCTGAGAAACCTGACTTGCTTGTGCTGTTCACACATCTCTTACATCTGGCTCTGCAAGGAATACTGCTGGCAAAGGGGTTTGATTGTTCACATTTTTTTATAATGGTTTGGCAGTTACACTGCTTTACCCAGTGGCTATTCATCCTTTGTGTTAAATATTTGATTAGGATTCTGTTCCCAGGGGAACAGTCTAAAGGGGTAAGGAACAGGATGTGCTTAGTGCTGCAGCTCTGTCCCAGTGACAGTTACCCTATAAGTGGAACATCCAGCGTAGGAAGTAGGATCAACTTCCCTTCCCTTTGCTGGAAAAGCTTTCAGCCTCTGCTTAGTGGCACTTTTCTGGAAGGGGGAGTTCCGAATGGTCTCAGGTAGATGGTTGTTGAACCAGCTGCTCATGTCCTGAACACGCGTGTAAGTCACTTAACTGAGAGATGCTGGGAAACACAGATACTTCTTTCTTTGTGTGAGAGAGAGTGGTTCTCTCCTCACTCCTTGAGAGGCATTAGGTATCGAGAATGGCTCTAGGGATTTAACCATGTGGCCTTCCTTGCCCATGAAGCTGCTGCTTTGACTTTATCTGTAGCTGCCTGGCCTTTCCCATGCACTGCCCATAGAAAACATTGGATTCTTACATGTCTACAAGGTGCCTTACAGCACTGCTGGCATGAAGGATTGCTGAAGGAGCCCAGTCTTCTTAGATGACGTGCACACAACATACAGAAATCATCACCTATTATTTCTTCTGTCTTGCAGACCTGTGCACATCGCTATGAGAAAAGGCAGTATGTAAACACAGTGCAGGAAACCCGGGATATCATTGGAAGGTGCTATGTGCTGAGCCAGGACCTCACCATTAAGGATGATATGGATAATGGAGTCTGGAGTTTTTGTGATGGTCGTTTAAGAGGCCATGAGAAGTTTGGTTCCTGTCAGCAAGGTGTTGCTGCTACTTTTACTAGAGACTATCATTATATTGTGTTTGGTGCCCCAGGCACTTACAATTGGAAAGGTATGACTTGGCTTCCTTCCTGCCTACCCTTCCCATTTCCTCTGAGGTGGCTCTCAAGGGTTGCATCCAAAGTTTTAATTTTTCTTTTTGTTTTTTTTTAGGATGGGGGAAGGGATAATAGGGATATAATGATTTAACCCTCTTTTCACAAAATGCTATGCTTCTGTATCAAAATTATTTACTGCAGTTTCTTTAAATATCCTTGAGGGAGTATATGAATAGATAATGGAACTTTTGTACAGCAGTTTTTCCCTTATTAATCTAATCTTATGGTGGGATTGAGGGCTTACTTTGACAAGTAGAACAAATCACTAATTTTTTTAAAATTATTTGACCAGCCTTTTTCTGCATTTGAGCAAATGTTAGATAGCTGCACTGAGATCTTCATCCTGCAGTGTTCTCCACTTTATTCTTTGTGAACAGTAGTACTTTACAAATTAAATACTGGAGAGTTGCAGGAAGATAATTGAACAGAGCAGTTCAACATATATTCATAACTAAATCCATGCATATCCATGTAAAATTTCATAGATAATCTGTCTAAGAGCCAAGTATTCTGTATCATCCAGGAGATATTCCAAAACTGAGGGGAAAAACCCATAAGATATTCTCTGTTAGTTTATGTTGAGAAGCATCTAAATGGCCAGCTCAGTCTCTTGAAGGGATTTTTCCCATCACACTTCATTACAGCAACAGCTGTGAATTCTTCCCTCTTGAGAACATCTGATCCTCCAACCACTATGTTTTTCCACCTCGCACACCTGTGCCTGCCATCTGAACCGTGCAAAATCATTGAGTTAAGCTCTGGCACAAGGTGTACTTTAGTGAAAACTTAATCTTCCACGTATCTGTCAACAAAATCTGACCAAGCTGAAACAGCATATTGAGTTCAGACACCATTTTACTGCAATTGCAGAGAAGTGCTAGGACAGTCCTAAGACTGCTCTTCTGTATAATGGAAAAACATGTTTGTGCTTGCCAAAACATTAAATACGCCTGTTGATAAAAGGGAAGCACAGATTTTATTGAACAATAGCTCTTTCCCCTTAAATACCGTTTCTAAATATACCACTGGTGTTTGTCATAGCTGAACAGTAGTTTTATTTTTTTTTAATTCCTGTGTACTTATCTCCCTTCTAAGAGAGGCTTTATGAGGCTAAGAAATGTGGGATGAGGGTAGTTTCTGACCATATTGGTTCCATGTGTTTTTGAGAATTTTCTTAGTATCCCATGTTTTCCAGATCATTGTATGGCCTCTCTGTAGAGCAGCATAAGCTTCTGCCACACAGATGGAGCAGAGAGAGAACACTGTCCTCTCAGTGCACTGTTCTGTGTTTGTCCTACTTTAACAGCAATCACTATCTCATTCATCATAATTAATATAAGTTGGGAACCATTTATCTGTTATTTTTCTCACCATGCATTTGCTTTTATGTTATCATTTCATTTTTTCAGGGGTGGTTCGTGCAGAGCAAAAGAATCAGACATTTTATGATCTGGGTATCTTTGATGATGGGCCTTATGAAGTTGGTGATGAGAGCCGCCAAGATAAGAATCTAGTTCCTGTTCCAGCTAACAGTTACTTAGGTAGGATTAAATACATATGGTAAATCTCTTTAGGCCTCTTAAACATCTGTAATCCCAGTCTGCTGTGATGATACGAAACGGGAGCAGAAGATCTTTCATTGTGGCCCTGTAACATGTTCACCATTTTGGATAATTCACATTTATGGACCAGTTTTAAGTGTAAGAAAGATGATACTGCTGAGGTGCCTGGAAGAGCTGCCATTGTAATGTGAGATTCAAGAGCCGTGATGAGGATCTACAGAATCTCAGGGAGTGATTGTAATCACTGTCATGGTTCAGTGACACTGTATAGACCTGTAGTCCTTAGTCACAAGGTCTCTTCTACGTGCTGTCAAAAGGTTTATCAAACTTTGAGTTTCTGGATGTAATTGTTAAGACTGCAGATTTTCTCTCCTCGTAGATGAGTGCAATTCTTTTATTCTTCAAGTTTTTAACTTAACTCCAGTGGTCTTTTTACAGACCTTTAAAATATTGTAATATAAGTACTGTTCATATTTTTTGTGTGTGTTGCAGGAGGTGAGTGTCTTGCTCTTTGTGCACTTATGAAAGCAGAAATATGTCTTAGGGCCACTGGATCTTTCTGTACACCAGTGAGATACATTGGTGCAAAGAAAAGGCTACGCTGCATTTTTGGAAAGGTTTTCAATGTAAAGAATCTTTCTGCACCAGTGCAGATTTCTGTGTGTTGATCCACTGCTTTTGCCGTACGCAACAAATACAGTTTTGGTAACTTGAGACTGCAATTCCTGTGTGAGTGGTGGAAAGCTGAACAGATGGGAAGGGCATTGCTAATCTAAAAAGTAAAAGCAAGTCAAGAAGAGAGCAAACTTAGAGCTACCCATCTGTTAGTAGAAATAGAACATAAACTTCTCTTAAATATCATGAGTAATTACTGGGTGTAAATAACAATTAAAAAACCCCATCCTAGGATCTTATGTTAGACCAGCTGATAGCATCTTCTGGTGAAATAAGAATTGGTAAGGTGAGGAGTGCTGTGGAGGTAGGTGCCTTTTGCTGTGAACAGTCATACCGCCTTTTTGCAGTTTCATAACAAATATATTTCTCTCTTAAATGTAAATGCTGCCTTTGATTTGTCATAATCAAAATGACTTCCAGGCAAGCCAGCTCTTCACTGGCATTTCTGTTCCCTCTGTTCAGATAGTAAGTGAACGTGGTTAGAGGTGTTTTGTTTAACTGCTGTTTTTTTCTCTTCAATCTTTCACTCCTGTTTACAGGTCTTCTATTTTTGACAGCTGTATCTGATACCCATCCAGATCAGTTTGTGTACAAAACATTGCCTCCCAGCACACAGCTGGACAAATCAGTGGATGTAATGATGAATAGCTACTTAGGTTTGTGACCACATGAGGTGGCAGCATCTGGTCAGACATAATCTCCAGACCTTTGACACGATCCTCTCCCCTTCATCCCCTCTCATCTCAAATACATTGTAAGCAAAGCATGTAAAAACTGGGATTCAGATGAAGAGGAGATGGCAAAGTAACCAGTCTTCAGAGAAGCACTGATTTGTCATGCATTTTTCCAAACCCTGTCATCCCTCCCTCAGCTGGGACTCCCTCAGTTTTTCTGGAACTGTCTCATTGTGAATTGCTGTAATTGAGAATTTTCACAGTAGTGGTGAAGTGTTTCAGAAGGGAGACTCCCATCTGCTGGCTGGTACCTTCCTTCCTTGCAGCATGTGCAGTTTTCTACTTTGGCCTTTATTGGATATGTTGGTATGTGCAGTATAGTAATTTAGCTTGGTTTTTCATATTTTAAAATGTATTGATTTTTAGAAAGAATAGGTAAGACTAAATTAATTTCAACATGTCCTTTAGGGCTGCACTAAGTTAATATTGCCAATTTCACCATTACTGTGTAATTTGATTCTCAAATACTGTACACATCATTCATGTGGGATACTCTGCTTGTGCAATACATTTTGCATGTTTGCAACAGAATGATATTGACTTGTACTCATAATTTTACCAGGGGTGAAATACTCGAGCTATATTAAAGTGGTAAGGTGTAGTTGTTTTTAAGCTGATATGTTTAAAATGTATTTGGTATCCGTGACAAGCAGATCCAAGTGAGCAATGAACTTATACATTTTGTGGGAGAAATACTGAATGTAATGTGTGAAGGAGTGTCGACCTGTAAACTTGAATCCAGGAGTCCAAATAGAAATGGAGAATTCCCAACCATATTCCATGTCATACGGTATTTTAGACAAAACTTGTATTTCATATACCACTTTAATATAGCAGGGGAAATTTTTACTTTTTGTATTAAAATGCAAGCTGTTATTTAGTTTGTTTATATTTTGTGTCTTTCTTTGGGAAAGGTTTCTCTTTGGACTCTGGTAAAGGAATTGTCTCCCAAGATGAGATGACTTTTGTGTCTGGTGCCCCAAGAGCCAACCACAGCGGAGCAGTTGTTTTACTGAAAAAAGAGAAAAATCAGAGAGCACTTTCACTGGAGCACATGTTTGAAGGAGAAGGGCTGGCCTCTTCTTTCGGCTACGATGTTGCTGTTGTGGACCTCAACAGTGATGGGTATGGCTGTGGTTAACTCCTGCTGCCTGTATAAAGGATAACAATCGTGCTTATTTCTGCTTTGGTTTTCCCATTGCAAGTACAAGAAATGCCAAATCACACCTTCCACGTTTTGCTGGAGAAAATGGCAAGCAACTTGAAGAACCAGTTAGGACACAGTCTGTGTTTCTAATAATAGAAAAGAGTTTTATTTAAACAATTAGTGTAAACAAAGAAAGAAGGAACCAGTCTTATACCCAAAGAAGGCCCTAGATAGAAGATCCTTGTGTGCGACTGAAGGAATAAACCAGCGTGTAGTGTCAAGTGGGGCTGTTGTTGCTCAACCAGTTTAACGCATGTTTTGGTCTTTGTTCAGCAGCTCTTTGGGCAGCTGATCTTGAGCCCACAGTCTGATCGGTTACTTTCTGAAGTTTTTCTGCAAAAACAATGCTTTTTTTTTTTTCTTTTAATTCCAAGATGGCAAGACATTGTTGTGGGAGCGCCGCAGTACTTCGACAGAAGCGGCGACATCGGCGGCGCTGTGTATGTCTACATCAACCGCCAGGGCAAGTGGGACGGCGTGAAACCCATTCGGCTGAACGGAACCGCCGACTCCATGTTTGGGCTTGCAGTTGAAAACGTCGGGGATGTTAATCAGGATGGGTATCCAGGTAAGTGGAAGACATTGACAACAAAAGTACGTGACTGTTTTGCCGATGCCAGACTTGAAACATCTTACCCTTACTGCGATTGCACACGGCAGAAAGAGCAAGAATTTTAGGTGTTGCAACTTACTTTCAACAGATATCGCAGTTGGGGCTCCGTATGATGGTTTTGGCAAAGTATACATTTATCACGGATCCAAGAATGGAATAAATACAAAACCAGCACAGGTAATGAAATAACCTTTACTATATAAGTAGTCTTGAACAAAATTAAAAAATGATAGGGCTATCCATCTTCTCCCTTTCCATTACTATTAGTGGGGTGGTGGATATGGAACAAAGTCACAGGACCCTTCAAAGGTTGCACTGCTGACTGGAAAGATTAGGAATTCTTGATATTGATATACATTTTTATTTCCGGGGCCGTCCTTTGGCACCGATAATATGCAGAGAAGGAAAAAGACATGTAGATATATAGTTTTGGGGTTTTTTTAAGTAAATCTGGTGATTTGAAAATAATCAGTTTCTTGGTTTTCTCTTTCACTGTGACACTTGCTTCTTAAATAAAACATGTTCATGCCTTTTTAGTTTTCAGGACCACTGTGTCCAGTTTGCAAGGTGGGAATGGAACTTGACTGCACTCCCTAGAATACTGCTAAAATACTTTCTAGAATACTTTTTCAGTTTCAAGTGTCTATAGTGCATAAATACTGTAAATAAACTAAGCAACATCTCTGTGCATATGAATAAGTTCTGGTACTCACTGCTATTGCAAAGTAACTTCTTGGAAGAAAAGCAAATCACCTTGGCACTTCAGTTTCATTTACCTGAACTGAACACAGAGGCAGGTTCTATTTCATTGTTTCTCTTCCCTCTCTTTTTTTCCTGGCCATAAGACAGTTATGTTCAGTTATTTCACTTTTATACCTTTTAAATGTCTGAATTTCCTCAATTTGTTTGCTCTTTAGATTCTTGATGGTGAAAAAACAAACACCAATTTCTTTGGTTACTCTATTGCTGGAAACATGGACCTGGATAAAAATTCCTACCCTGATATTGCTGTTGGTTCCCTTTCAGATTCTGTAAATGTGTACAGGTATTATATACAGAACCTTAACTAATTAAACCAAGGCTTTGATTTTAGTTTTTTTAAAACAATTTGCTTAGTAGTAACAACAAGCTGTTGGGCCTGGAGTGTATTTTTCCTACTAGAAGGTGGAAATTCAGGGTTGGGGGTAGGTGGGAATTCCATAAATTGGTTTATTATTTTATCCCCCTCTTTTCCTTGAGAAATTGCCTTTGCAGTCAGTTCAGGGTAAGAGGGTGAACGTGGACACTTCCTGTGAAGTGCTGGTGTGTGCAGTATACCTGTACCTTAGCTTTGCCCCAGGGTAGCTTGCATGCCTGTCCTTTAATGGAATGTAAGGATGATAAGTAATTCCTTTGCGTTCAGGAGAAGTTAACTGATATGTTTGCTGCTGTTATATAATCTAATCGTGCTTTATTGAAGATGGAACAAAGCTAAACAGAACCAACCCCCACCTCTGTAGCCAAGGATCCAGACCAGTGAGGCTGAAGCCTCGCTGAAGTTACGCTGCGGTCCATGAAACAGCAGTGAGGAAGCCCTGCAGATGAGATCCTTTGGGATTTCTGTAGCACGTGCCTAAATTAGGGATGAAGTTACAGTCTTTTGCAGACCTCTGCTTTTTTTCCAGTTTAACTTACTGTTAAGCTGAATCACTAGTAATGGGCAGGAAGAGGACTGTCTATCTCATCATCAGAACTGTGAATGCCACATCAAGTTTGGGTCCTTGGTGGTTGCTGTCAGGTCCCAATGGAGGAGGAGGATCAGAAACTTCAAAACTGGTTATCTGGATTTTGGGAATGAAAACAACTTTGCTTTTCAGGCAGAACAGCCTTTCCTACAATTTATCCTACAATTTATGATCCCATCTTTAAAGTGTATAATATCTGTGTACATAATTGTAATGTTCTTAAATACACTGGAACAGCACCCAGGAAAAGCAACTCACGTGAACAGAGTAGGTGGAAGAGGAGTTGATTAGATTATTAAATGTTCTACTTACTCAAAAAGAGGCTTTAATCTTTTGCTGATAAGGGCAGGACAGAAACTTTTAGCAAGGTGAGAACAAAAACCTCTAACAGTGAAAGGGGTGGCCCATTTAAATGGAGGAGGTGGCCAACTGGCTACTTTAAACAAGGTCGAGGTGCTTTGATGAGAACAGGATCAGATCACTCATTTGTTCATGGAAAATGTCTTCCCTTCCGAAAAGGAAAGTTGTGAGGCTGAATTATGGTTACAGCCTCCATGCAGGAGGAATTAGGCAATGAAAACATTTCCCACAGCCACCCAGGCTCCACATAAAAGCTGTTGTGAACATCAATCTGAATGAACTTTAGTACCTACAGTTATTCACAGTGGCTGAATTACTGTTGGGGTTGAAACCACCACTGAATTTTCTGTTTTTCCTAAGTGTATAAAATGACAGGGAGCCTCTGGTGGTCTAGTGGTTAAGGGCGCGGCGCTGTCACCGCCGAGGCCCGGGTTCGATTCCCGGTCAGGGACACTCCCCGGTCAGATGGAGCTCGTTAGCCCTTAAAGGCAACCCATCTGTGTCCTGAGGACCTCGCTGCCACCGTCCAAGCTCACTTGGCCCCGGCAGATGAACCTTAGGATTAAAGGGTGGGCTCAGTTCCGCGCACACTGTGTCTCACCTAAAAAATCCAATGCGCAGGCTGGAAGGTGTAGAGACCTTCCCCGGATCTTCGCTTGCGAAGACTGGCCATTATTTATTTATTATAAAATGACAACCACAACATCACATGAGCGTAGCCTGCTTCCCTGTCAGGCACTCATTACAACAGTAGTTGTTCTTTGTTACTTGCTTTGCTTAAATAGTTTTCTTTTGTTTCTAACCAGTATCAAAGCCAAAATCTTTTTCTTGGGGTGTCTGTTGCAAATCAGTGCAGGTGTGGAGGGCATTTGGGATTCACATGAATTATTTCATTAATCTTAACAGAAACTTCTTTTTTTTTTTTAACTCTTCATTCCCCATTTTCCCTCAAATGAAGATCTCGGCCTGTGATAAGCATTAGAAGAAACATTACAGTACAGCCTGACAGAATTGATCTAAAGAAAAAGAATCCTGAGGACCATAGTGAAATATGGTAAATAAAAAAAATTATTCTATCAGAAGCCTTGGTGTATTGAGTTTTCTGTTGTCAAAATTCATTCAGTGATGATGTTGAAGTGAAGGGATATGACAATTATGCAGGTTAAGCAAATGTATCTGCCTTTTGACTTTCTGAATTTCTTAAAACTACTGTGCTAAAGACAAGGTTTAAAATATGTTCTGTTCATAATGTCTGCTTTTGAAAATTACTTTTAACACAAATATCTGGGCTTGAACAGCTTTCTCTTGAGTAGAGACATAAGAGCAAGTGCCAGAAAATTTTTCTAATTGCTTATTAACCGTTTTTTCTTGCTTTGTGATCCAGTCTAGTAAGCAGCAAATACCGTAGTCATAAGAGTGATAAGATCAGTGAATGCATTATTAAAACTTTTCAGTCTGTTGGACCATGTCTTATTAAAGTTAATATTAGTTTCTCGGTACTTTTTACAGGATGGATGTGAAAGCATGTTTTAAATATACTGCAAACCCTCGAGATTTAAATCCAAGGATAAGTAAGTTTTGAAGATAAAGAATTTTGATCTGTTTGTCAAGTGATCTGTTTTCTTTTTTTCTTTAGAGTTATCATGGTAGAGTACTACTCAAATTGTAGTGACTCAGGGACTGTCAAATTTAAAATGTGACTCAGTACTAAGGTCAGCTGTTGCACTGTCTGTATTTAGTCACGCTGGTGTGTTAAGCTGTTCTGTTCTGGATGACAGAAACTTTCTGAGTGTTATAACTACTGGTGAGCAAACGGCTGCCATACAGACCCAAACCCTTCTGCCTCTCTAAATTACTGCTGCCTTAGACAATAGTTTTAAAAACCCATTTTATATATCGTTAGTAAGTGTTATTTCTTATTGTAGGGTTACCCTATAAAGCTGTGTCCTGTATTCATGAAAATGGTTTTGTGGAAATGAGTAATTGAAATAAAAAAATTTGCATTAATAGAAGACTGGAAGACTGTGCCACAATTATAGTCAAAAATATAAAGCACTTGTTACAATGCTGCTGTTACTACCTCTTGGAGAACTGTGTAGTATTTTGAGAGGAAATCAGAAAAATTTTAAGCTCAAAGCTCTTTTTCCTCCTGTGTTGAGTTTCTCCATTACTTGTAAAATCTAAAGGATGTACCTGAATAAGATCCTGGTCCGTCAACAGGTCAAGTGCTATCAGTTCTCAGAGGCTGCTCCCTTTGTCCATCTGTGAGTGGCCTGGCATGCTCAGTGCTGTTCCCATCTGTGCAACATTCAATTGGCTCAGTGAAGAGAACGATTAAAACACCCACCGAGTTCAGGTCTATCAAAACATGCCTTAGCACACAACTAGAAAGCTGTAGTCACACTTATGCTTTCAGTGTTAAAATTAACAGTGTACTCTGACCTCAGAATCCTGCTGGCTCTCAGGTGCCGTTTGGGACACCACAGGAATCCCGGACAGCCAAGTCGGGGTATTTACATTGTGGTACCTCAGCCCTCTGCTGGCTCTGCAGCAGCAATTACAGCTCCCCCGTAAAAGAACGTTGTACTTTGGGAATAACATGATTTGGATTAGAAGTTTGCTACAGATCATGCACGGGTACCTAGCCCTTGACTATGGTGGGACAAAACTGACAGAAAGTTTTGTAAATAACTGAAAACAGTTTGTGAAGCCCAGAACTGGCTGAAACAATCATCTAGAATAATGCTGTAAGACCATACCTGGAGAAGTTAAAAGTTCTTTTTAATAAGGCAATGATTCTTTTTTTGTAGTGACTTATTTTATTTTTTCACACAGAGATCAACTATACGTTTGAAGTGGAAAATGAGAGGCGGCAGCTGGGCTTGCCATCCAGGGTTCGGTTCAGTGACCACTCGTCTGATCAGTTTACTGCAAGTACAACCCTGAAGGGACAGAACTCATGGCAGTGTGTGACTACAAAGCTTGTACTACAGGTAGGGAGGAGTATTTTCTGTCCTTTTCATTTACATCCATTTAAAACAAAAGAATGCCTGTTGTGTTTTTTTTCCCCAGCCTCATGGAAGGAATATCTGTATATAATTTAAAAGTCACATGCAATATAAAGTTTCAAAAATGGAATTCCCCCATAGTTTAGTACTTTACTATTCCCTGCACACATGCCACTTTCTCCTGTTACTTTTCTTGCAAAGTGTGAGTAAAAGTTGTAGCCACTGCAGCATGCTCTGGAGGTCAATAGAGCTGAGCTGATTTTGTACAGTAGAGAGGAACTAAATGTCAGAAATGGAGAGCTGTTTCCAACAGAAGTAATTGTTGCAGAATTTAATGGTGTGACTGTCTAGGAAAAGAATTTTAACCCATGGGTTTTGGAGTGGATGAATGGGCACGGCAAGAAAGCTTGGTGTGTGTTCTCTTGACTTGGCTGCTACACTGCCCGTTAAAGGTGGCGTTGCTCCAGCAGCTGAACAAACTCCCTCTCTTGGCTCAGCAGGAATGAGTCCTCCTCCAAGGCTTCTTTTGACCACAGCAGATTAAAGAGCTTGAATTTGTGCAACAGAATCATAGAATGGTTTGGGTTGGAAGAGACCCTAAAGATCATCCAGTTCCAATCCCCCCTGCCATGGACAGGGACACTTTCCACTAGACAGGTTGCTCAGAGCTCAGTCCAACCTATTTTGATTTTATTTTACTGATGGAGTGTGAATTTTACCTGTCTGAATTACCATCTGTTGTTCCTAGGAATTCTTAATGGTGAGAGAAATCATCAGTTTGGGAAGCCAGGAAAAAGACAAGCTGTGTTGTGTTCTTGCATGTGTTTAGAAAATGCTGTTTAGAAAAAGCTTGCTTTTGTGTTGTTTTCATTAACTGTGCCATTTATTTTAATATTTAATATTTTAACAGGAAAAAATTAAAGATAAGCTACGTCCCATTCCAATATCAGTCAGTGTTAAAATTGCTGGCCTGGAGTCTAGCTCACCATCCACAAGAAAAGAGAGTGCACTTCCAGATCTTATACCAATTCTAAATTCAAATGAATCTGAAACAAAGACCACAAAAGTAAGCCTTTGATATCACATATTCATATAAATCTGCATATCTATAGTAACTGAATTTTAAAGACTGTAGAAAGCCAAAGGAAATAACTGGGGTGGAACTGGACTTGCAACTACTGGCTTATTATTTTATATTTTGTTCTGAACTTGTTACAACATGTTATGAACTAGATCCCGCATTTATTTTGCAACAAAAGGGAAGATGGCATAGCTGCTAGGGGTTTTTTTCTCTCCCCAACAAATTTAAGAGGAAATATACTTTTGATTAAAAATGGAAATCCACTGTCTCCTACTGTGAACACTTGTCTCACATAACAAAATAATTTACAGTTTAATTCTTCCACTGGATGTTGTAACAGCATTTGAGCAGTGACTGCAATAGTGACGTAAAGGGGAGAGAATATCTCAGTTAAAAGTTTGCATTTCCTCAATGGTCACTGAAGAATCACACTTGAGGATATATTTCCTTATTAGAAGGGTACCTCTCACTTAAAATTATCCAACTCTGCTTTTTAGTTACATTTAAAGTTCTAAATTACCAAGATCGAGGGCTACGTATCTCACAAAGGAAAACTCTACAGGCAAGAAGAGTCAGGTGAAAATCTGACCTCTGTCCAGGGAAGTGTCTCTGAGTTCCGTGTAGATGCTTTATGCAGTGCACTGGAGAAATCTTGTTTTAAGCTACTATCATATGTCAGGCATTAGAATTGCTTTGGTTTTTCTTTAGGTGGAGTTCTTAAAAGAAGGATGTGGAGAAGACAATGAATGTCACAGCAATCTGAAACTTCAGTACCGGTTTTGCACTAGAGAAGGAAATGAAGACAGGTTCACTTCTCTACCGCTGTAAGCCTTGATTAATGCATCGCTAAGGTTCAAAGCACTAACAAGTGCTTAGAAGAACTTTTAGGAGGGGGTTCTGGGAGAGAGAGCAGCTTTGTTTTCTGTCTGGCAAACACAGCCCAGTGTAATAGTACTGATCTGCCAGGACGAGGGAAGAGGGGATGGGCTTGAGAAGCAAAGTGGTACAGAGTCAAATGGATACAAAGTGGCCACAACTGTGCAGGTGGGGACTAAAAGAAAGACATTTTTGACACCTGGAGAAATGAATTTATAAACCAACCTTGCAGTAGTTTACTGTGTGTGACACTGTTAACTGTTTTGTAGATGAAATTTTATTGTGAAGATGACAACTCAATATAGTATAGTCTAGTAGCCCAAGACAAGCAGTTAGAGAAATAAACAGAGTAACCATTTCAGTGTCACACACATCCAGCACCCTGCTGCATCCCTCCTCCCTGCAGGGCCAGTGAAACCAGAAAAGGGGTAAAACAAACAGGAGGTGTGTTTACTCACTGTCAGCAGTCAGTCACCTTTAGCAGTGAGGGCCACACTCTGACTCAGAAGCCAAAGTCACTTGCACTTTAGAAGAAAAAAGTGGATCAGTAGATTGATCTGGACAAAATTCATCACTATTGGACGTGAATCAGATGAAAGTGCTGGTTCAGAAATACTATAAACTTGATTACTTGAGGGATTTATCAGTCTGTTCTGTCCTGTTAACTGCTGGCCACTTTCAGAGATGAAATACTGGTCTGGGGGAAAAAACTGTGACTGTTCATGTGTTTACAGCCTTACAAGAATTCTTGCTAATACAGGAAATTCTATTCAGGTAAACCATGAGAAGAATCAAACTTTCATACACACTGGTTTTCCTAATGCACACAACCCTGCATACTCTTGTTTCTGTAGGGAAAATGGTGTGCCAGTGCTTGTTCTGAAAGATCAGAAAGATATTGCCCTGGAAATAACAGTGACAAACAATCCATCTAATCTAAAAAATCCACAAGATGGTGAAGATGCATATGAAGCTAAACTAATTGCAAATTTTCCAGACAGTCTGACATACTCTGCATTCAGGGAAATGAGGGGTTATCCTGTAAGTATTTTTAAGAGAAAATATATTAAAAATTTTAAAATATTTTCAGGTAATTTTAATACCGATAAATGTATTCTGTTCAATCAGGAAAAACAGCTAACGTGTGGTGCTAACCAAAATGGTTCTCAAGCAGACTGTGAACTTGGAAATCCTTTTAAGAGAAATTCCAATGTAAGTTGCAACTGTTTTACTCAAGTTGTAAAATCTCATTTCTGACTGCGGTCATCCAGAGTTTCTGTGTGCCACAACTGGAAATTTGACTCACACCTGTCTTTTTAACTCCAGAACTTGATTGTGCATTTTTATAATATTGCATATATCAATATATTTTACAAAATGTTTATATATTTCATTATATTCTTTCTTGTCTAGGTAACCTTTTATCTGATCTTAAGTACCACTAAAGTTAATGTTGATACAACAGACTTGGACATTAACCTGAAGCTGGAAACGTAAGTTTTCTTGGTGTTCATGTACATGCATTATGTTTTTATAGACAGTCATAAACATTTTGAATTCATTTGTTCCTTTCACAAAAGTAATTTAATAGTAAAGTGAAAACCACTAAATTTGTAAAATAAACACCGTTGTTTCCTTTTCATTGTAGAACGAGCACTCAAGTTAATTTGACTCCAATTACAGCCAGTGCTAAAGTGGTTATTGAATTGCTTTTATCGCTCACTGGGTGAGTGTTGTTAGCATAACAAATGGGGGTTCTGGGGACAGTTCTGCTGCAGACTCATATAAATCTGATTATTTTCCTTCCCCACCCCCACCTGAACAGAATTGCTAAGCCTTCTCAGGTATATTTTGGAGGTAACATCGTTGGTGAGAGTGCTATGAAATCTGAAGATAATATTGGAAGCCTCATTGAGTATGAATTCAGAGTGAGTAATTTAGATTAATGTCAACAGCTGCTTTTAATCAAACGCACTGCTTATCATTTTATACATATGAATACTTGGAAAAGTTGATATATTTGAATTGGCTTTCCTTGTCCCAAATTCCTGACTTCCTTTAGGCTTTGATGTTTTATGGTCATATTTTGAGGAAGTGACCTGAGTCTGTCTGCACACTTTTTTTTGTGGAGCAGTTCCTGCACATTCAGTTGTAGGGCATAACCCCCTGCAGGGAGGGAACAAAAGCTAGAGCAGAACCTGCCTGTGGCCTGCCCAGGCACTGCCTGGTGAGTTACGGGCACGTGGTGCCTGCAGGGCTGAGCTGGCACACGAGACACTGTGAGAGCCCCTCCGAGCGTGTGTCCGTTCCACTGGTTTTGTCTTCTGCCAAATAGAAATCAAGGAGAAGACTAAGAGAAATAAAAGTCCATCTCCGTCAGTCCTTTACTTCCTTCTGTACCTACACGCATGTATTTCAGTAGCAGCAGTTTGAATATCTGATTTAGAGCTTGCTATCATCAACAGTAACACTAGGCCAGTAAAAAAGAGGGGAAACAACTTTCATACTTACGAGAGCAAGAGCTGGTTATCTCTGTGTGTCAGAGTTCCTCATAACTTGCACTTTGCCTCAGTTATGTAACTGCATGATTTGTTAACTCTAAATTGGAGTTGTCGTTTCACAATAGATTTCTAAAAATCAACAACTAAAAGTTTACCTTAGGGAATTTTAATTCTTACATGTTTAAATCTTGTATTTACTTGCTATCCAAGTGCGCTACTTTTAGTATATGCTTTGGCTTTGTACTGCTTTGAGTGCCTTTCATCTGATCTCAGTTTCCTGCTAGCTGCATGTTTAAAGCTTGGCCCAGTCAATAATGTTTTCAAGAAAAAAAATCCCTTTAAAAAGTATTTCGCAGTTTAAAGAACATTTGTTTTAACAGGTAACTAACTTGGGCAGACCACTGAAAACATTTGGTACTGCTTCCCTGGACATCCAGTGGCCAAAAGAAATTAGTAATGGCAAATGGCTGCTTTATTTGATGAAAATAGACTCCAAAGGCTTGGAAAAAGTCTCCTGTCAACCTGAGAAGGAAATCAACAGTCTGAATGTTGCGGTATGTTATGTTACGCTGTCTTCTGTTCGTCAGTTGGTACAACATGAAAGCACTCCACAGCATGTGACAGTAGGGCATATCAGAGCTTGCTCTAGAAGGATTTATTTTTTATCTAAAGAAGCTCACAAGTACAATACATGAACAATGTATCACAGATTAAGCTTATCAGGCTTCATAACAGCTAATGAGGCTAATATGCTAAAGGGTAGATGCTGTGTTGGGGTGACTGTTTTTGCAATGGGCACTGCTGGCATATGCTCTTACTGCAGATGAAACTGCTGATTGCTCTAACCAATTCCATCAGCATTACTGAAATCTGTTCAATAATAAAAAAAAATCCAACCTGAGTCCTTACACAGAAAACAATAAATAACTGTAAACATCTTCCCGGCCTGGGAGAATTCATTGTAATTTTTTTAAAGGCAAAGGGCTTGCACTTAAATTTACATTTTTACAACAAATATAATAAAAAGAATTTCTCAAGCAATTTTTATAGGCCTGCATTGTGCCTATCTAGCAAGATCTTCTTCCCAAAACCCGAGCCTTTATTCTTTTTTTCATATAATCTAAGATCATATGCGAGTTTTATTTTCCACCACTAAAACTGCATGCACAAAAATCCATTTTTGTCAGATATATGAGTTAATATAATTTTTACTGAGTGTAATTACTATACAGTTCAAAAACCCCTGCATCTAGTGGCCTCAGCACAACTTTAATCTTTTAGCATAGTACCATTAATATCCATTATCTAGAACAAAAATGGGAAATAGAATTGAAGGCTTTATAAATCTAAACCTCCCCTTGCCCTTTAAAGAAAATAGTCAGCTGGCCTTTCTTTAGGTAATCTCAACTTTTAATAGCTGTCCTGACTCTACTATTAGCAATAAATGTAGGTAAATAGGGATATATAATGATGTCACTCATATGCTGATCTTGGAAGAAGAAAACATTCACTGAACTCTAGTTTTGCTGCTTGCATGAGGTCAGAATTAAAACATTCTTACGATAAACTACTTTTTACTTTTTTTCCCCTTTTAGGAATCCCATAACTCAAGAAGGAAGCGTGAGGTTGCAGAGAAGCAGATCACAGAGAGCCAGGCATTTCCTTTATTTGCAGAAAGAAAACACAAAATCTTGGTATGTAGTCTTGGTCAGATACGTCCCCCTGCACTCATAAGAGGGCTTTTCTGGGTTTGGCAGGGTGAAAGAATTTATCTGTCTTGTTTTTATCTTAAATCCAAGTATGGATGCTTTTAAAATTTGACCATTTAGATTATCTACTATGAGAGAGAACTAGTAAAGAATATCTGCATTGTTACCTACATTAAAATAAACAGGTAATAGTATCTTCATGGTATTTTCCTATTGCTGTTGGTACAAACAGATACTGGTTCTTGCACGTAAGTATGACGCATATAATCCAATTTTTAATCTTGGGGTGAGGTTTAAACAGTCTGTGAGAACATGATCTTATTTACATGTAGAAATTTGTAATTGCAGGACTGCAATGTGAATGCACGGTGTGTGGACATAAAATGTCCCCTGAAGGGTTTAGACAGCAAGGCATCTATTGTGCTGCGTTCCAGACTGTGGAACAGCACTTTCTTAGAGGTAAGTCTTCCTACCTGCACTTTTTGAAAGGTCAGGGTTCTTTCCTGTTCTGTGCCTGATATTCATATTTTATTTTGGAACAGGACTTCTCCAAAATGAATTACCTGGACGTTCTTGTTAGGGCTTCTATCAGTGTTCCTGCTGCAGCTAAGAATGTTAAACTCACAAATGAAGTTGCTCAGGTAGGTCCAGTGTTTGATGCTAAACACATGCTATGGTTGTGATGGTTCCGGCCATCTCAAAAGACCAGGAAACAGACAAATTTAAAGCAAAACTAGCTTAAAGTCTAACTTTTTAATTGAGTTTTGAATTATTGATCATTTTTACCTTTTAACTGGGTTCAATTCAAAATTGAATTCAATACCCTATTGAAATGATAACAGTAGGTCTTTTTCTTCAAAAACATTTTGTAGAAGACATCTCTAGAAAGAGGTAAGACTGTATACGTTGTAGCTTTATACTTACACATGGGTCTTGGGAAATGCTCTTTCCATCTTCACATATTTCCTGTCCTTTAGGTGCGTGTTACTGTCTTTCCTGCAAAACCAGTAGCCCTTTATACAGGAGTACCTTGGTGGATCATTGCAGTGGCTATTCTTGCTGGAATACTGATGCTTGCACTGCTGGTATTCTTACTGTGGAAGGTGAGTTTTTATTCATCTGGCTATTTTTTATTTCCTGCTCTATAACTGACAAGATAGAAACTAACTAAGCAAATGATTAAGTATTTGGGACTCAAAATAGGGCAAAACTGCCCAAACCATACATTATTAGTTTCTCAATTTTGCAGCATTTGGAATGAAAATGGTTATATGGACAGACTTACGTAATTTTTCTGTTTTCACATCCTCAAAAGGAAGTATTTTGAGCTCAGGGCAAAACTCAAGACAAATGTTCAGAGACCATAGCTGGATACAGCTAATGGGACCCTCTGCAGTTAGATGTAACACTCCCTGTGAGCTGTTTACAAATGTTTTAGCAGGGCTATGTTCTTGTAACATTAAAAATACCATTAAACTGATAGTAGATTAAAAATAGCCAAAGGGTACAGTAATAATACACAGCCAACTGTGCTGGTTCATTTCTTAGTATGAGCTTTTTAAAAATCTTAGGAGGAGTAAATAAGTATGTATAGCAAAAGGTTAACAATTTGCAAAAGAAAAAAACAAGTACCTGTTTTTCCAATGACCTTTATAAAAATGCCAACTACTTGTAGTCCTAAGTATAGCACAACAGCTCTTTTATTCTTAGTGTAGACAGTTAGAGTTTGCTGTTATGGGATTATTTTAGAAGGTTATTAAGAAAGAAGAGGTGAAGGAGACTATCCTGCCACTTCTTCCAGCAAAACTGCAGCAATGAGCTTTACTGAGGAACTACTACTTGCTTCAGGTTACTTCTCACAGGATAGTTCTGACTTCCTTATTTTCTAATAAATGCCCAGCTACTCCTGCTTATGTTCCTGATGAATGAATACTTTAGGTAGGCTGTTAGGTTGTAACTGCTGGTGTTTTACTGCACAGGAAAATACAAGCATTTTTACATGAACACACAGCGTAAAATGCTGCTTTTGATGACAAACACTGTGCTGTGTTGTGAAGGACAAACATTACACTGCAAAGACTGATACATAATTGGTTTAAGATAAAAGCCTGTGTTGAACAGGTCAAAGCACTAATTGTTTTTGTTTTACCCTTTGTTCTTGTCTGTCCCATGCACTGGTCCACAAACAGCTTTCTAGGCTTCTTGGACATACTTTATTGTACCTTTTCTTAAAAAATAACAAGCAGATTTATTACAAATTTATCAAAATGCCTCTAAAATAATATTGTCAGGTTATTCTGTTATTTTGTTAATAACTTGGGTTATTGTTATTTTATAGATCAGATTAGTCCAAGTTGTTCTCAGACCTAGAAACAGCTGAGTTCTTGTTATTTTTTTGTGTTTTTTTGGTTGGCTTGTGGAGGGATAAGAGGAAGACAGTTCACAGAGTTAATTAAAGTCAGTTTTAATTGGTTTGACATCTTCCAGTCCACAAAAATTGACTAAATACCTTGCTTCCTTGTAGTGTGGTTTCTTCAAGAGAAATAAGAAAGATCATTACGATGCCACATATCACAAGGCTGAGATCCATGCTCAGCCATCTGATAAAGAGAGGCTTACTTCTGATGCATAGTATTGATCTACTTCTGTAATTGGTAACTGATGATATTTTTTAATTTCTAGCTGTGGCATATGCTGTGGTTGTGGTGGCTAACTGTGAAGCTTTTTCTGCATAAGTTCTATTAACTTGTGGATTTCAAACTATTGTACTTGCTTGCTCACGCTGTTGATAGATTTTCAGCTTTTGGTGCATGTGAACGCACACAGGTGTTTACCTTGGTCTAAAACACTTCTTGTTTATTTCTTTAGAAAACATATTGATCTTTTGCAATGGGGTTTAGTCTTTTTTTAAAGTTATGTTTTAACACTACAAGTAAGTATTTAAGCTTGCAAGACAGTAATCAACACTGTAGAGTTAAAATGTAAAGCTATATAAATGTGGATGGCGTATAAATGTGCTTTACTAACCTTTAGTGCATGCTAAAAGGTCCATGTTGCTTATAATGAGAGGAGTTTTCATAATGAGAATTTATTGCATGGAAACATCTGTTTTACTTGAGTTCTAAGGTACACTTTTCTAGGAACACACTTTGCTGAAGGTACTAGATGCTTTATGCTTCCAGAAAGCTTTATTCAAATTAAGATATCACATTCTTGTACATTATATCAGTAAGTGATGCTTGGGATCAGGGGATGGGGAAGAATTCTTAATGAACTATGTCAAAAGTTTAATGAAATCTTAACTATGACGTGGCTGAAGATTTTGTCTATGCTCACAATATAATTTGTTTTTAATTCAGTTCCATGTAAGTTCTAATACTAAAGAAACCCTCAAACCACCAACGAAACAAAACCAAAAAACCCAGCACTCTAAACACTATGAACAAAAAAACCTTGCCACTTTAATCTCTTCTTACCCCCAGCAGTACCTAATGACAGCTGGATGGCACAATGTCTCTTAACCCTCATCTTACCTCAGTGATCCGTAAGCATGTAAAGCTGTGTCTGCCAGTCATGATCTTGGCGACATGGTGGCCATAGCTCCATTTGGTTTTGAAAATTACTTTCAATCTGTTCATCTATATTTAAAATCAGTCTTTACATGGCTAAGAAATCAGTTTTTACATGGATAAGAAATAGCAGAGCACAACTAAACTGTACAGGATTTCATCTAGAGTGATTTCCCATGGCCAAGTAAGCAAGACTTGTGTTTCTAATACTGCATATGTGTAATTAGTTCAGATGACTGTAGTTGAGATGGTGCTTTGAAAAACAAGGCCCCAGTGTAACTTCTCTTGAAGGTTCTGGAAGTCTTTTTGTAGATTTTACAGGTAAATCATGTCACCGTGCAGGAAGGCACAAAAGTACATACTTACCTTTGATTCAAGAGAAGTAGCTTTCCTGAACTGTACCTACTTCTCTGTGTAGCAATAAATGCTCTCATGAGATGAATGAACAGCTTTGCACTGGAGGGAATCTTTTTAAGGTACTAGATTACCACCATATGGTCAGACTGTGCCATTTGTCTTCAAGTGCTGCTGGAACAACTGCTGTAGACCTGCTGCCTCACATTTTTACAGCTACGTATGCTACACTTTTGGCTTATGTATTTTTCTTTTCAATTTTCTTACCTCTGTATTTGTGCAAAGGAAGAATTTACTGCCTCTATGACTGTAGTACTTTGGCAGCAACTTAAACCTAAACTGTTCTTTTTCTCCTCTGCCCCAGTGTGGATTCTTCCGGCGTTCCAGGTACGAAGACAGTGTCCCCAGCTACCACGCTGTAAGAATTCCAAAAGAAGAGCGACAGATCAAAGATGGGAAAAACAAAGACCTTGAGACAAAACAGTGGCTCACAAAATGGAATGAAAATGAAAGTTATTCTTAGGGGAAAATGTTCTCCATTCAGAAAGTTCAGACAGAGGTTAAGGTTTTCATTAATGGAATACTGATGGAGTTGTTAGAACATTATGGACATTCACCATTTGATTGTAGATATTACTACTTATACTGAGGCTTTAATTTGCACAGTTAAAATTGCTTCAACAGACTTTATTTGCATTATTTAATTTCCAGACTGCCTCTTTTCCTCTCCTCAAATCTAACCCACACTTTAGAAAATATTATGTTGATTTGGGGTCTTTTCTGCAAAATATGCAAAACCACTATAGCAGACCTTTTCCTGGGATCCTGACCTTCCTCCTGGGGATGTTCTCCATTGTTCCCTCAGGAACATGGTGCTCATTCCCTCAATGCATAGTGCTTTACAAACACACAGTGGCCTTAACACACTTTATTCAAGTATAACTGAAGACCTGCAAGTCTGCCTTAGTCATAACCTTTACCTGCTGCAGTAGTTAGGGCTTAACAGGAAGCATCATCTTAAATTACATGTGCAATGGGTCATGTTGCTTCATTTTTTTTTAAATTTTTTTAAGATCAGATTGTGTGATTCTTGCTCACAACAAATATACACAGGTTTTTTTTTTTTAAAGAGAGGCTTGAATATTAGATGTACTTTTTGTATATATATATATTTTAGTCATTTTTGTATTTATTTTTATTATAAATCATTGTCTTTGACTAACTGTTAGGCCAAAGACTTAAATGAATTTTCAAATCGACTGTGTTTTTGAACTTAAGATTATGAGACCTGAGGCTTTCACTGCATTTTAATAAGTAACTGAAGGTGCCAATACTTTCTAAAAATGTAAATATTTATGCTAATAATGTGTATGGGGGCTTTCTTTTCCTGATACTTTTAAGTTTATGTCTTGTAACATCAGGTCTTGTAACATGATTTGTATATTATTGCAGACTATTTAAGGATTTGGACACCAAGCAGAAGTAGAGGTTTAGATAAGAGTTTTATACTTGCTGCAAGAAAGCGAGTTTTCTCAAAACATCTTTCCAGCTTCATAAGGACTTCCTGTTTGGCAAAAGGCATTGACTACTGCAGCTGTTATACAGCACTTGGAGGAGTCTGTAGCTGCCTCATTTACCTTAACTGTGTGGATCTGGAGCTGATCCACAGTGAGACTACTGAATCATCTTGAATGCCTGAATGTTGATAAAAGTAGAACCCTGATGTTGTTTATCAGTAATCTAGTTACTGTGCCATAAGTGATAAATTTATTTAAACAGTTTAATTTTTTACCCAAGTTCTAAAGTGTTGGTACTATTTAAGAACAAAGATTTAGTTCACAATTGTTTATTCCATGTGAAACAAAATTCTGCTCAAATAGTATGCATTTAATTGCTCGTAATTTGAACTATGCAAAAACCTCTTGGTACTTTTTCCCCTCACAGGGTAAAAACCTGCTAGGAGGGCAGTTGTCAAGTGTCTTATTTCTACTACTAACTTTGAACATTAGTACGAAGGTGTGGTCACCTAAAAAGTTGTAATTAATTTACTACGCTCACCTTTCTTAACACTAAATAATCTCAATATGTTATGACTGATTTTATGAACATTTGCATATGAATGTTGATGTTACCCGGTGTTTGAGCTTTTAAAATTCTAGCTTATTTGCTGAAAGGCTCAGCAACATCAGCAGCCAGGCTAATCAGGGGCTAAGAAGCTTGACAAATACCCCTGAATCTAAAAGCGGATTCTGGCCCTCCCTAAGAACATGAATGTCTTAGCAGTGTTAAAGTGAAAGTTCTTGAAAAATAAGTCATGTCACTGGTATACTTCTTTCTCAGATTTTCATTATACCAGCTAACAACGCCACATCATTCCATGATTAGAAATGACCTGTGGATATTTGTATAGAAGTGTGAAATAAATTTTTTTTAAATTAAATTAAACATTGTCTTGGTAGTAGTGATTATATCATACTTAAGTGAGGTGGCCATAGCTAAGTTCAGCAGAAGAATGTGGCTGAAAGCCACAAGCTGCAACAAGTTCTCCGATTCTCGATATTGCCATAGCTCTTGACGCTGCCCCAGGGAGAGGGGCAGAGAAGGTGCTGCAGGAGATAACGCAGAATCTCGTGCTCACAGGCTCTCTGCTGCAGCTGCCAGCACGGCTCAGGGAGCCTGGCAGAGCTCCAGGTGTCAGTTCCCAGCAAGGCACAGCTGCCCTCTCCCACTCCATGCTTGCACTAACACTGCCCAGGGGACCTTCAATGCAAGCAGTCTCCTAAAAATATTCCTAATTACTGCCAGATAAGTGTTTGAGTAAGTAGGGGAGAGGGATACATCCCCCAAAATTGGTCAAGGACTTCACATACCAATCTCTATTTAGCAGTGAAAGATTGATACCGACAGTCAGTAACACGACTGCAGGGTACAGCTTCAAGTCCACCAAAAAAACCCACAGAAAAGCCAAAAATATGGAGGGAGAGAAAAAAAATATTTTATATCCATTTTAAGGTGTCAGCCCTGACAGGATCCTTTGCTGAGAGGCCTTTCGATGCAACAAAGCCTGAAGAAAAGGGTTAGCTGGATATGTACTAGGCCAGCGTTTGTTGTGGCCAAGAAACTTCCAGGACTAGAACGAGAAGATGCCACTAGACCCTTCAGACCACATCAAAGATGTGAACTCACCCTGCAGTTATTAAACAAGTATTCTCATTTACATAGCACGACAAACATTCGTCTACAACAAGACAAAATATGGACTGGGAGAACAGTTAAGTATCTCATCATAAGGTTTAGTACTAATACAGTGTATTGGGCTTTATACAGGTTCATATACACCATACACACATAGTACTCTATGTAGTATATACTATATATACAGTGGGACAGCACTATAAATTATAGCATATGTGTATAGTATGTATGTATATATGTACACTTATAGAACCTAATGTGCTGTATTTGCTATATATAGCGTGTGTTTGTGTGCAGTGTGTATGTATCTACATAAAAAACAGACACACTGTATAACATAAGGTACATAAACAGGATCTTGGTAAACTGCAATACCTTCACATACCTTTAACTGTCAGAGCACAGGAGATGCATCTTATGAGAGAAGCTTCCAGTGTAAGGGATCACCACAGCACAGTTTCAAATAACCACCTGTGCAGAAGTTACATGTGGAAGGAGGGAACAGGGCACTTGGTTGGACACAAATATCAGGAATCAGCCCATAAAGTGAAAAGAAACTTTTGAAAGTGGCACTGAACTACCAGTCCCCATTCAAAGCACCCACATTCCAACGCTGTTCATCATGACTGCAGCTTGTCTAAACTAATTCAACAGACCACACAGAACCAGAAAGCTGCTCAGGAACAAACAGCTGAAATACCTTCTCCCAGCACAGAGTAGGCGAAGGTGGCAGCTGGTTTGCAAAACCCATGAGAACAAGCTGTAATGAAACAACCAGGCAACTGCACCCGGCGTGCTGAGCCAGCAGAGGCCTGTGGACATGCTGGCTGTGGTTCAGCTGGCCTGCCAGACAGCAGCCTGTGTGTCGCAAGAAGAATGGAAGCAGTGTATTTTCTCACAGGGACTGTGTAAGCAGTTGCTTCAGTTTTTTTATCTCGGTCCTCAGATGTCATTAAATGTCTGTTTCTCTTCCCAGGCTGTGGAGTCGTACGTAATATACACCTTTTACAGCCTCATAAGCCTTGCTAAGTCCTAACCATGATCCTTGTGAGAAAAACACAGAAACTCCTTAGCCCAAGACACAGCCCAGGTGTGACACTGTCACTGTACATGGACTGGGGACTTGCAGTTTGCATTTTCCACACTGGAAGACAGACCCCTTTCCTCCTTTTTCTCACTCTCCAAAATGGTTGTTTGCAAGCTGCACCTTCTCAGGGCCATACCTGCCTCATCCTAGAAAACAGGCAGAGAGAACAGTTTTTTGCAAGAGGAGGTGTCCTTACTTCTGCTTACCTAAGCACTGCACACCAACACAGAGCCCCCCTTGGCACTGATAAGCAGTATTTCACCTCTCAGTCCCAGTGTCATCAGGGGATAGGGGAAGAAGGGGACAGAAAAGTGCAAATAATTTGGAAATAACACAGTTGATAAGTTGATTAACAGAAATGTTTGCAGGATATTGGTTTCTTGAAGTGGAGGAGTTCAACAGCTAACAGTACAAAGCTGAGAAGTGCATTGCTGCCCAGAAATTTCTTTGTTGGGGTCCCTCTTCTGAGGTACCAAGCTACCGGATATCAAAATTGATCTGTGCCAATAAATCTGTCTGGTGGAGATGAGAGCCTAATATCAGAAACTTCCTTAACATCTAAGTTTACCAGAAATGCTTCTAATCACTCTTAACTGCTTTTTTTGGTTCATATTCTAGATATTTCTACCAGAGCAGGACAAGAAAATATTAAATACACTGTTTGGTACCTCACATGTTGCATTAGCATCCTAACAGCCAATAAAGTGATCTATGGTCCAAGTGATTTTTAGTCAATACAGACGCGTGTGGTGCTCACTGTTGACAGATCAGGAGTCTGTCTGTAAAGGCAGAAGCCCTATTTTTCCTCTGTATTTTTTTAAATTCTCAACAAATAACAAACAAATAATAATAAAAACAAATAAACAAATAAACAAACTCCAGGCCATCCCGCAGCTGGGCAAAAGGTGCGCTGTTAAGAAGACCGATTCCCTCAGGGGAGGCTCTGCCGTCCCGCCGCGCCCCGCGGGCCCCGGCCCGGGCTGAGCAGCGCAGGCCGAGCCCGCGGACACCCCCCGTGCCTGGGCCCCGCACCCACCGCCCCCCGCCCGGGACCGCCCCGCAGCCCTTCGCCGGGCAGGCGGCACCCGCCCCGCAGCGCCCCCGTACCTGTCCGGGAAGCGAGCGTAGCCTTCTCCCGGCGGCCCGTCAAGGTACCTCAGCGGCTGCCGGGCTGCTCCGGGCGCCCTCGCCCCGCTCCCTCAGAGCCGCCCTCTCCTCCGCCCACCTCCCCCTCGGGCACCTCCTCCTCGGGCACCTCCTCCTGGCGGCGCGGCGGAGGCGGCCTGGGCAGGGGCCGGGGGAGCGGCGTGGCGGGAAATGGCGGCTGGGGCCCGGCCCGGGCCGGGCTGCGCTGAGCTGAGCTGAGCGGAGCTGAGCGGAGCGGACGGAGCCGCGCCATGAGGCTGCTGCGCGCTCTGCTGCGCGGGGCCGCCCCGGGCTCCATCCCGCAGCAGGTGGATTTCTACTCCCGCTTCTCCCCCTCGCCGCTCTCCATGAAGCAGTTTCTGGACTTCGGTGAGTCCCTGCCGGGCCGCACTCCCACCGCTGCCCCTGCTCCCGCAGGTGCCTGTGAGGAGCGGGGCGGCTGCGGCCGCGACCCCCACCCTGTCAGCGCTGCCCGCTGTTGCTTGTCCTTGTTAGTGCTGTGCTCTCCGGCAGAAAAAGGCCCTGCTTCCTTCTGGGACAAGGGAGCCCAGTTGGCGCATTCCCGTAGACTGGAAGTGTGACAAGGTTGAAATTCAGCTGAAAACTCCAGTTTTTTGGCACCACCAGAGCAATTGGGCGTTTTCCTGCAGAACCTGCATGGGAGAGGGTGGGGACAGCTGTGACAGCTGGTAGTGTGAGAGCAGTGACTCAGGTGAGACTGGTTAAGCCTTTTGCAAGCTGGCAGCGTGTGACCTTTTAAAGTATGTTCCAAACACCTGGAACGTTTAACCTCAGATGGCACTGAGGGGCTGGAACAGTCATCATTTCTCAGTCACATGTCTGTGCCCTACAGAAACACCTTACCCAAAATTTGCTGGTTTAGAAGGAGCAGGATGCAGAGAACAAGAGCCATCCTGGAAGATTCGGAATCTAGCACTGAAAATGAGCAAATCAGTAACAGGATACTAGGTGTTATATTCTTCACTAAAACCACTCATAATGCTTCCAGGTTTGACTGTCTGCTTGGAAACAAAAGGTATCACAGCAATTGTTCTATTCTGCTTCAAAGCAAAGACCACACAGGGAAAGGTTAAGTCTCACTGGGAACCCTTTTCAAAGCCTGAGGTTGGGGCCGTTCTACAAAACGTTGTTTCTGTATCCAAGGCACTCTGGTGCACATAAATGCTTACATAAGTGTTGCATATAAGCATCTAATTTGTTAATAGTTGCATTGCTTTTTATATATTTTTGTAAGTAAAACATAACGGACAACTAGTCATAGAGCCTCAGACTTTGTATAAGTAGGAAGATTTACAAAGAAAACTTTCTCTTAACTATCTGCTGTCACTTCATCCATCTATTCAGCGTTTTGTTTGTGGCAATGAAATGTATCCAACATTTAAAACTCCGGATTCATACAGGAACCCCACCATATGTTCTGTTGCTACCATACTTATAAGCAAAGAATCTTGTAATTCAGAGTTTGCTTTGACCTGCATTATTTTACCACTAAATACTTATAATGCTTACCTTAAAATCAGTGTTTATTTTCAAGGCACACTATTCCCTTGTGTCAAAGGATAGACTACTTTAGTAGTCTATCTACTACTAAAGTAGTCTATCTAACTACTTTTAGTTACCTGAACACAGGGTAAAAATAATTTTGAAAACTTTTAGATTTTTTTTCTCTTTTGTTTAAGGATTTAATTACAGATAGTAAAAACTAATAACAAAGAAAAAGAGTAGAGTGCAAGACTGAGACAGTATTTGTCTTTAAGACATTCTGTAGCCATTATAATCTGATGGTGTTTTCATTAGGGCTTTCTTTGCCTCCTTTTGCTCTAGTGAGAGCATTCAAAGAGGAAATAATGCAATCTGGTAATGCTAACTTAAAAAATTGAAATATTCCATAAGCAAATTTAGGTCTGACTCACATACATCAGTCATATCTTGGCTTAAAAGCCCACAGTATTTTCTGTAGGAGTCTTATCCATTCTTTGCCTAGATGGACTGTAGCTGCACAGGGAAAGACTCATTTGCCCATTCAACAAAGTCCTGCCCTAAACTGCCTTCCATATTTGACCCAGGATTGCAAAAATACAACCTAACTATTTTGTGGAACATAATTTGCTGACTATATGAGGCATTTAAAGATTATATTTATGTTCTAATACCTTTAATCTGATTTGTTTGTGGAATTTTTCCCAAGAAAAGGGAAAGACCAGTAACAGTCATGCCTGAAATGCAGTCTGACTAGGGAGAATGAAAGGTTTCTGGGCAGAAATATAATACTGGTAAGTGCCATTGGGGAGGAATTTCTTTTTCATTAAGTTCATTGACATTCTTTCATCACTGTAGTTTATAATGTATCTGAATCTGGATGCTTTAAAGGAAGGTAGTCCATTTCAATTTGATGACGATTTTTCCTGTTTAAGACACTCCCCCTTGCCAGATGGAAGGAGTGAACTGAGCAGTACACCAGAGTTAATTTTTAGGAGATGTTGTTGTAAAACACCAGACTGAGGTATGTACTTCAGTGCAGAAGATGAACAGGTTAGTAAGGTCAGATGCTGTTTACATGACACTCGTGAAGTCGAGACAGAAGTCTGGCTGAGAGTGACATACAGCATTTCGTAGCCTCTTCCCCACACTGCACCCTCCTTCCTTGCCTAGGAAAACAAGCTTTGTGGGAGTAAATTCAGGTCTTGATTTTAATAACCACGTTTCATTGCCACCCACGCAGATGACATTTGTCTGTAAAGAAGGACAGGTCTGTTATCAACAGGTGCAATATTTTCACTTCTAGCTTTTAAAAATGTAAAAAAATTAAAAAGTAAATGTATGGGGAAACTACTATGCCAATAGATAAGCACAGTAGCTGTCCTACTTTCATTTCTTTCTCAGTATTCATGTGAATTCGTTCATCTGTCTTCTATTCCTGTAAGACAGTGAACTTAAACTACAACAAATTTAGTTGAAAACAAGATTAGTATTACAGAATTTATTTTCTGAAAGTGTTCCAGTATGTGTTATGGTAATTCAGTAAGATCAATGATCAAAAGCAGGGTGTGTGGGACCACGATACTTTCTCAAGCACCCTTCCCATAAATAGTTTCCTGTGCTGGTTTCATTTGCCTCTCCGACACGCTCAGAATGACGCACTCTTTGATCAGTGGTGGTTAGAGTCAATGCTTGCTGCAAATAAAATGTACAATATACATGGATAAAAGCTGCATTTAAAGTTGAATAGTATGAGTCTGCAGCTATTGCTTTGTGTATTGCAGATTCTCCTTACTCTAACAGGGCTGGTAGGTTATAAATATGAGGTAAATTCTGAAATACAAATGGGCTGCTGCCATGAAAGAAACATTGCCTTGCCAGCCCAGCCGAGTCAAGTTTGAAACCAAGACACAAGCCTCTTATGCAAGACAGTAAGACTTTGTGTAGTTTTCTGCTACAAATGTTGACTTTGTTCTGATGTCATGTATTTATTTTGGTCTTAGGATCTGAAAATGCTTGTGAAAAGACTTCATTTATGTTTCTGCGACAAGAGCTGCCTGTGAGATTGGCAAACATAATGAAGGAAATAAGTCTGCTTCCAGACAACCTCCTGAGAACACCTTCAGTTCAGCTGGTGCAGAGCTGGTAAGAACAGTGATATTTCATACTTTCTGCATACACATAGGTTGGAGGAACTAATTCTTTTGTACTGAAAGAACATTTCACGGGCTTGTTACATGAACATCTCTTATTTAAAGTGAGATACTAAATATCCAATGTGGTATAGATCAGGAACTAAATTTACAGACTTGGAAAAAACTCTTTAGCAGCAATTAGAGAACTCATGAGGGAATTAAAAATCACTGAGTATTACAGACACTCATGTATGAGAATTCAAAACATTTTAATTAAAAAAAAAACAAACCACAAAAATCCACCAGAACAATGTTAAATAGAGGACTTACCTAAAAGTGAAGAGACTAGTTAAAGAAATCAAGAGAAGTAGGCTAAGGCCTGCAAAACATGCTTGCAAAAACATACTAGAAACCATTTACAAGATAGGTTATTGCACATTGATAGTAAAGATGTAGAAGATATAAGGAAAGCAATAGGAAGCTCCCAAAGCCAAAACATAAACCAATAGAAAGAATATGAAGCTATTGAAATAAAAAAGACATTCTTTGAAAAGTAAAATTTACTTTCAAATAAGGAACTTACACATAAGTATAAACTTGTTAAGATGAAAGCAAAACAAAGAGATTGCTTGGCAACAGCTACAGGCACAAAGGTATCTGGAAAGGCTTTTAAAGTTAAGAGATCAGAAAATCTGCCAGTGAATAAGTGGGATTGATTAGATGACTGAATATAAAAAGAGCTATCAATGAAGAGGAAGGCTCTTAATGAAACACAAATGCTTACATTCTCATGATACTAAATGACATTGATCAAATGAGAAATGATTTCTACTTGGACAAATGCAAGGTAGAACACAGGGAGGACTCTCCTCTCCCTGAATGCTTGCTTGTTTACAATGGAAAAAGAAATTCTGATGCTACTGGGGATATTTTTCTGAATATGTCAGTTGATGGGCAAGAAGGAAAATTGTGTTAGGAACTAAGTAACAAATGGGGAGGAATATAATTGTATGACTGTGTTAGCCCTTTATTGCTCTGAATTGCATGCTGTTTTAGTCACTCTGTCCTGAACAGAAAAGACCAAGAGGGATAATCAGAGGGTTGGAACAATTTTTACGTGAGAAGAAACCAAATAGAAT